CTGCCTGAAAGGGGAAATATACAGGGTTTTTTAAAAAAATCCTAAATTTGCTAGCACATGTGCTTGGAGATTTTGCTTAGCCTAAAGGAAAATTTTAAGACATTACTATGAATTTAGGAAGTTTATTTTTGGGAGGTGTGTGGAAAGGTACCCCTCTGTCTATATGTATGCACTGAAAGCAATGGCCCAGGCTAGCCTGATCCTATCCGATCTTGGATGCTTAGCAGTGTTGGCCCTGGTTAGTACTTGCATGGGGGACCAGGGTTGCTATGCAGAGTTGGGCAATGGCAAACCACTTTTGTTTGTTTCTTGCCTTGAAGACCCAACACTGTCTCTAAGTCAGCTGTGACTTGATGGCACTTTCCAACAGACACACACACACGTCCTTTCAGTGCTATCCTAAGCAGAGTTATGCCCTTCTAAGTCCATTGAAGTCAATGGACTCAGAAGGATATAACTCTTCTTAGGATGGTACCGCAACTGTGCAAGAATCTGTAGATCATTCAGGATTTCTAATTTTACATGCACCACAGCCCCGAGTGTTGCTTCTTTTTCCAGTATGTGGTTCTTTGAAAAGCATAATCCTTTTTTTAAAATTCCAAAAAAGAACTATTTCTGCCTCCTATCCATATACCACTGGGTTGAATTCTTATTTGTTCCAACTGATCGTTTGACAATAATGCTAATATCTGGTTTTTTTGTGTATATAATAAAACCATAATCTACAAATGTTGCATTACAGATTTCATCCTTCCATAGGAGGAAGGATAAAAGTCTGCATAAGCAGCCTTGGTACACTGTCCCTGCTTTTCCAGATGGGCTTGGTGTAGAGGTTAGAGTGTTGGACTAGCACAGAGGTGTCAGACTCATTTATTATGAGGGTTGGATCTGACATAAATGTCACTCTAGGCCCAATCTGCATCTAGCATTTGTTCTGCTGTTTTATCAAGCCCACACTGGAACAGAAAAAGATGCAGCTCAAAATGGCCATAAAACAGCCATAAATCTATGCAGACGGCTACCATAAAATTGAGAGATCAAACAAAGTGAAAGCGGCATGCAGTCTGGACTAGGGGTGTGTGTTCCAGAGTTGGTTTGGTAAGACAGCAGAGCAAATTCTTGATGCAGATTGGGCCTTTGTTGAGCTGGGCCATGTGTGCCATAAAATGTAATGCCAGGAACATGAGATATAGACTTTATAAAGGACACAGGCAAACCCAATTAACTATACTATTTTTACTCAAAATACAAACATGCTTTAAACATTAACACTCTTACAGTATTTCCTTACAATATCTCCCTAATGCCCACCCTCCCACTTCCACTGCCCATTATGCATTAGCCCTGGGACAGTATACAGGGACATAATGCACAGCCTTGGTCATCTGGCAATAAAGGTTATCAGTTGCTTGCAGGCCGGAAAAGAGCCCTGGGTGGGCCAATTGCAGCCCATGGGCCATATGTTTGACACCTCTTGACTAGGATCTAGGAGACCCAGGTTCGAATCCCCACTCCGCAATTGAAGTTAAAACATCATGTTGTAGTTTGGATGTTTGTTGTTTGTTTGTTTTGAAAATAATAACACTTAAAAATAAGTTTACTGCATGAACTTGGGCCACTCACACACTCTCAGCCTAACCTATTGCACAGGGTTGTTTTGTGGATACAATGGTGAGAGGCAAATGATGAAAACCACTTTAGGTCCACACTGTGGGGAAAGGTGGGATATAAATATAAATAAATGAAATAAATAGAATACACAATCAGGTTTTTTAGTTAAAATATTTTTCTCTCATATTTTTGCAAACTTAAAAGGCTCACACAGGGTTACACCTTTCTAAGTCCATTGAAGTCAGTGTTGAAGTCAATGGACTTGGAAGGGTGGCACTGTTTGTGATTGGTTGGAAATTGGCTGCATTTTTGCCCTCTTTTTATCTAATGGGGATTATTTTTTTCCTTAACAGTACTATGGAATAAGGGCTACCTTCCTAATGTTATTAAATTCTTTCTAAACCTGAAGCTAATTATTTTGTTAAGATTTCTGTTGTTAAGAAACCTCACCTAGGTGTTTTTATGGCCTGAGGTGTTATCCCTTGCCTTGCTCAAAAGCTAGTTTTCTATATGATCACTTTTCTTCATATCATTACCAAGGTTTATGATTACTTCTGTTTTTTGGCTGGTTTAAAGCATTTTGCCTAAGCTTCCTCGCTTTTCAGTTCATAGTCCTAGTCCACTTTGCTGTTCTTCGCTAGGGCTGTTTCAGCTTCATGATGGCATCAATGCGATTTAGTCAAGTGAGGGAAATGTTTTCTGTCCTCACTGGGATTTTTGGCTTTAAAGATTAATGGAAACATGGAAAACAGCAGCAGGAGAGAACACAATTGCTACTGGTCAGTGAAAAGGACAAAACTGATGAGTGTCTGTGGGGGGAGAAGCTCCTATTTCAAGCCAAAAAGGCTTGCCTGTGAATTTATGACCTACTCTTTGCCAAATCTCTCAATGAACCTTAAATATTACCTAGCTTTTCCTCAGAAATCTTCAATTGTATTGTATTATTCCCGTCCTGATTGGATTTCTTATTTAAATGATCTTATTTGCTGTAACAATATCAGGCAATAATACCGTTCATTCATTACAAAGTCCTTAATTTCACCAAGAAAGGAAGGAAGGAAGGAAGGAAGGAAGGAAGGAAGGAAGGAAGGAAGGAAGGAAGGATTTATGAGGAGTCTAGATAGGATGCCCAGTGGTGTAAAAGTGATAGTTTACAGTTGCCAAAATGAATTACTTCATCCTACTGTTCTCCTGTTTATAATACCTAAATCTTGTAGGGCAAGTAATTAAGCTCTTTACCTCTTGATTGTATCCCTAATGGGATCATTAGTGAATCGCGATAGAGGGGAATGATTATGCATGAGATATTCTTTCAAAATTTAACAATAATTAAAGATACTAGCAATCTGCACAGAAGATGTTCTGAAGCTATAATTGCATTTTGGCAGGTTCAGCATGCATTGCTAGCATTCATTTCCTACCCCTCTCCAGTAAATTATCTGAGCAGTTTGTGATAAGCTAAAAAACATTTTGTTTGACAGCAGTTGACAGACTTTCTATAGATAAAGGTCTCCCCCCACCCCAAACTAAAGCAAGGCAAAATGTTGAAGGGATATAAAAGGAATGCTTCAGTATACCACACTTGTATCTAAAAGGCTCCTCCGTTCATGCGTTGGTGGTACGTCCTCTTCAAGTGTGACACTCTGTAATATTTAAGACTGTTGGATTAGGCAAGATGTAGAAGGCAGCAGGGAAAACCAAATGACTGTGTGATATATTTTAAAATAATCCTCAGACTAATAGACTGTAACTCTGTGAAATGCTGATTTCTCTCTTCCTTTGCAGTCAATTTGAGTAGACTCCTCATTAAAGAAAGCATACAAAATTGCTCACATGTGGCATGCTCAGAGGTTCTAAGGTTCTGAGCACCTTTCTTCCAGTCTGTAATGCACAACATTTAATTTTAAATGTTTGGGAGTCTCTCACCCTACATCTTTCTTGGGTTGCTTTCAGTTTTACAAAACAGGGAGGAAGCTCTACTCAGCAATGGAACATTCTAGAAATGGGCTCTTAAAAGTTCTCTTTGGTCCCTGCCACATGGCGGGAAAAATACCGGCCAAAGTGCGGCTTTTAAAAGCCGCACTAAAAAAGAGACGCCGTGGCGGGATCCCACGATCCCCTGAGCCGCGGCGCCGTTGCTTCCCGGCACGATCAGATGCCGGGGAGGAAGAGACGATCGGGAGGGGGAGGGTGCCGAACTGGGCATGTGCAAGCATGCGCAGTTCGGTCGGGGGCGGGGATGCGCCGGCGGAAGGACGCACCGGCGATCCCACGGCCGGCATTGATGCGGCCTTTCAGAAAGAACCACCTAGGTAGGTGGTTCTTTTTTGCTGCGGGGTTTGGGCGGGAGGGGCGGATCAGGAATGGGCGCGGCACACTTCTCAGATGTTGCTGTGGGATCGCGCCCGTTTGCTGCGGCCCCAATCCATCCCTCTCCCGGCCCAAAACCTCTCGTGTGACCGGGGCCTTTCTTTGTCATTAGGTGAACTGTAGAGAATGAGGATATCTTTATAATATTGGTATGTTAACAGGATTTCCAAACAGCCTCAACTGCAGCGTATCCTCCAAAAGACCAGGACCTGATTAAGTCCTGACTGATGTCCTAAACAACATCAAGTTTAGAGTCCTCACAGCATCACCCTGCCCCTCCACCAGTAATTTAGTATTTTTTAGCCATTTTTTGCACTTAGAAGCCACTTATACTCTAAGACTTTAACCTATGGTTTACTTAGCGTGCACATAAATCTAGCTGTGGCTGTAACCTTAGTTAGCTCTGGTGAAACACCCAGACTCCTCGTTTTTTTGCCGTAGACCTCCTTGTGCAGGTATCCTCCTCTATAAAGGAAACATTTGATCTGCACTCACTAAAGAAATACCAAAGCAATCTTCCCTGGCTGTTAGCAAGCAATTGGCATAACCAGGGGTCATTTCATAGAAAAAAAGATAAGTCATTCAACAGCCTGTCTGCACATACAGCTGATTGTGATGGCAACAGCACTGAGGAGGTGGCGTGGACTGCACCACTTCAGACTGGAGGGGAGGATCTGTTCCCCCCCCCCCAAGATGTCCATACATTAATAATTCCCATAAGATGAAAGCTAACATAGCACAACAAAGGCTAGGATAGAATTTATTCTCCTCATGTATTTCCAGAGAGCTTTAAGATTGGGGAACATTGACAATATGACCCCCACCTCCCCCACAGTCTGAATAGGTATGGCTCATTCTGCTACACGCAGTCTGCTGCAGGTCTGAGGCCTGGTTTCAACAAGACAAAATAACTTGTCCATAGGGTAGGGGGAGCTGCCTTTTGCTCGCTCCCCCGTGCACTGTAGAGTTCCACTTTGCCCCCTCCCCCATACTGTTCATGAGGATCCCTTGTCCCTCAGGTGCTGTGTTTCGGGAAGGTCAGTAGGCTGCAGGAGGAGAGGGAATTGGCAAAATTCACCCACTTAAGGAACTGAGGTTACTTGGCATCAGTTGGAAAACCACCTTTGGATCCAGCTCATGATTTCCATCCCTGTCAATATGTTTGTTTGTTAGACCAGAAGCCCTAATGGCAGTGCATAAATAAATAGATTAAAATGCTAGCACAAAATCAAAAATCAAAATAAAATATCCAGACAGACTGTGTCATGGCGTTCATGTCAGCAAGTTAGGGGGCTGATTAAATGGTCTCCTTAGCTTCTGTGTGGTTACAGCAAAAAAAACAGCTGCGACATATTTCTCCTCATTATTTAACAGCACACAGACTTTCTTTAGGTCACATCCTTCTGTCACTCTAGCAATAAATGGCAATAAATATTTCTCCTTAGGCAAAGTATAAATCTAGCGGTATAACTGATAATGGCAGACAGCCTCAATTTCCTGTTGACCACAGATGTCTAATCTACTGGTGATTGGCATCTTGGCATATCACCCTTCTAAATCCATAGAGGACATTGTCTGGAACTGAAGGGCAGTGAAGGCCTTGCACAAAGGAGGGGTGCTTCCATTCAGTCACAAAAATAACTTTCTAATGAAACTGTATGGCTATTGGGGAGAAACGCTTCAATTTTGTCTTTTCTCCCTCTAGGTGGCTAATCTTGCTTGCTCGCTATCAACGAATGAAGATGGAATTAAAATTGTCCAAACGGCAGCCAGTCAAATGGAGACTTTGTGCCCCCAGGTATATTGCTCCCTTATACGCATGCAATGTGCAAGCCGTGATTTTCAGTTTTGTATAACTTGCTCCTTGGAGGTTTATGTGTAAAGGGGGAAGTATTATATAATTAATGAATCAGTTGCTTGTATTTGCAAAAATGGAATAGATGATGTGCGAGTCTCTAACAAAACGGCACAGCTTCCGGTTTGCAGAGAATGCCTTGTCTCCCTGGCAGTGGCACCTTGCTACCTTGTCCTGCTGTGTGCTCTGTCCAGTGTAATCCCATTAGAAAGGGTTAGGAGGATCCCTTTCTGCGGGCGTCACCTCCTTTATCTCTCCCTGCCCTGAAGATTGTGAGTTCTTAGAGTGGAAATCTATGGTTATCTCTTGTGTACTTTAAGTCCCTTTTGCCTGCTCAAATACAGAGCGATCTGAACTAGGCAGTGGGAGTTAAAAGAAGCGGAACGGATCTCATGCAGGCATGACCATGGAACGTAAGGAGCTGCCTTATATTGAGTAAGACCATTGGTCCGTCCAGCTCAGTGCTGTTTGCTCTGATTCTCCAGGTTCTTAAGCAGAGGAAAGTTTTCCCTTATCCTGGCAACCTGAAATCCTTTATCTGGAAATGGTAAAGATTGAACTGTTGTGTAGGGGAACAACAGCAAACACCCAGTTCTGTTTGGCTGAAGGCCTCTTGATTAACTACAACTGTAGGGCAGGTCTCAGCAGAGGAAGCCTCTTCTGCAGGTAACTCAGTAATAAGATCACTTGCTTGCAATGGAGGGTGATCCTTACCGGCAGGATCTGGATGGCTTCCTCCAATTAATTCACATAACTTCTGCCCAGCGCCTTCATTCAAACCACGCCTGGGTGTGCTGCATGTAGAGTTCTTAGAATGACTCAGTGTCCCGCTTCTGTAATGACCACCCTGTTTCTCCTAATAGACAATCCTTATGAACTAACAATTCATTCTAATGGTATGCAAATGTCCTGAATACTTCAGCCAGTTTTTCTGTGGGCCAACCCCTCCATACCCAATTGAGAACACATGCCAAGATAGAGCTTTTGATGTCATCCTAGCAATCCGTGCAGCCTGCAGAGGGGGATTCTGGCATTGATTCCAGCATAAGGGACTTCCATTGGTGGAGGAATGGCACAGTCAGGTATCGGCAGAGGTAGACAGTTTAATGCACCCGCTTTTGCAACTGCTTTCCCTGGCCTGTATGTGAGCTTGTAATTGTATGCATTCAGCATAATAATCCAGTGTTGCATACAAAGGAAACAAAAAGACAGGCGTTGGCTTGTCTGTAGTGAAAATTCCAAGAAGTGGCTTGTGGTTTGTTTGGGTTTCAAAAGCATAACTATACATTCAGTCGTGAATCTTTTTAAACTCCTTTCACAATAGCCAAAGCATCTTTATTAATCTGGGTGTAGTTCCTTTCAGTTGAGGTCATTATTCTAGAATAAAAGGCAATTGGTGTCTCTGTACCATCTGTGACTGAGGATAGCCCCAGCTTCACATGGCATGACATCTAATGGACAGAGGTGTCTGCTTATCACAGTGAACAAGACCAGAGTTAGAAATCAGTAACTTCTTTACACTTGGAAATGCTTCTTCATGTGTGTGAGTCCACTTCTACTGAGCACCTTTATCTAGCAAACGATGAAGGGATTCTGCTATACTGGGTTTGTTTTTTAAGAAAGCATGATAAAAATTCCAGAGTCCTAGAAATGTCTGAAGATCTTGCTTAAATCTGAGTACACATGCACTGCGTATTTCCTTTCCCTTATCCTGTGCTGCATCAATCTGGTATCCCAGGAAAATGACACTGGAAACTCCCAGCTGGCATTTCTCTTTCTTAACTGTGAGAGATCAAACTTCTGCAGACGTTTTTGGAGATGATCCATGAGTTGCTCTTTTGAGGGGGCCATGATTAACACATCATTGAAATAAGGTACAACCCCAGAAATACCTGCTAGCAGAGTTTCCACGAAGTGCTGAAAATTTCCTGATGCCACTGAGATTCCAAACTGAAGATGATTCCCATGGAAAGCCCCTCTATGTGTAGTAATGGTTTGGGTTTCTGCAGCCATGTCATCCACTATCAGTTGTGGATAAGTTTTGAGCAAGGTCAAGTTTAGGAAAAATCTTTTCCCCTGCAAGGACAGACAATAACTGGTTTATGTCAGGCACTGGATATGGGTCTTGCTTGAGTGCCTTATTTACAGTACATTTGTAATCCTCACAAATGTGTACATTATTGTTAAGTGTCAAGACAGGAACAATAGGGGTGACCCAGGTTGTGTGAGACACTGGCTCAGTAACTCCTTGTGCAATGAGCCAATCAAGTTCTGCATCAGTATTTGGCCTCAGGATAAAAAGAACATTCTGAGCCAGTGTGGTGGTGTGCTTAAGAGGGGTGGACTCTAAGCTGAAGAGTCAGGTTTGATTTCCCCCTCTTCCTGCACCTGAAGCCTGCTGGGGGACCTTGGGCCAATCACAGTTCTTTCAGCACTCTCCGCCCCACCTACCTCACAAGGTGACTGTTGTGGGGAGAGGAAGGGAAGGTGATTGTAAGCTGCTAAGGTGAGTGTAAGCCACTTTGAGACTCCTTGGGGTAGAGAAAAGCAAGGTAAAAAAACCCACTCTTTTTCTTCTTCTGAAACAAATAAGTGTTATGGCAAGATCCATTTGAAAAGTAACTGGTGGCCCTTTGTGAGCTCCTAAAACCTCCGTGAATACATGTGGGAACTCAGATGCTACCTCTTCCAGTATCACTGGACAGACAATATGCACTCCTTGAACACTGATCCCTAAGGCTATGGTCCAGTTTCTTCTCTATAGTCTTTTATGATCCTTTTTTGCGACTAACAAAGGTAAGGTCTGCCTGACAGATCCATAGCAAACAGCTACATCACAGCTTCCAAGGATCTAAACAATCTGTCCACTGCAGTCACAAAAGTTGACATTTTGATCCCTGTAATTTGGAAGGATGGTCCTGGAATAGTCTTGGCCTTCTCTCGTTCTTCTCAGGCCCCAATTGAGGAGGAACAGTTGCCTAATCACTGGCTCCTCCCAAGAACTACAATATAATCAGTCCCCTCCCCACCCACTCCCCATATTTCTACATCTCTTTCCTTTTAAAAGAACAAAAAGTTAAATACTTTATATATAATTGTTAAGGTGTGCTGGTCTTTCGATAACATGCCCACTTTGAGTGTATTTACATTCTGGTGTGACCTCTGTGAGTTGTCTGCTTCTTTCCCCTACCCCTCTGTCTCAAAGTATGTCTTCGGTGCAGTCTCTTGTACTCTGTGCCTCTCAGCTGGACTGATTCCCAGTACTTCTTCATCTCTGTTCACAAGTGGCTGAGACTCCCATCCTACCCCTGCATGCTGATCTCTCAGATGGTTGTTGGCGTGCCTTTTGTCACAGTCTGTGCCCTCCTCAACTCACAATCTGTGCCCTCATTGAGACCCAGTTTCATGTCATGGTTAAGAGCGGTGGACTGTAATCTGAAGAACCAGGTTTATTGTTTGTTTGTTTAATTTGAGTTTTATGCCACCCTCCCCGCAAGCAGGCTTGGGACAGGTCACCAATCACAAAGTAACAATATAAGAAAGTAGTTAAAACCAGGGGTAATTTCCTGCAGGAGCGCACAGGAGCGGAGCTCCAGCAGTAAAGAGCCCAGGGGGTGGGCACATGCAACAAGCCCCACCCCCTGCTCCCAGCAGCCCTCAGTCAGAGCAAGAAGCAGCCAGGTAAGTTGCACAACAGAGAGCAGGGCCTTCGACCCTCCAGTTATTCACTTGAACTGCTTCCTACATCCGAAGATACACCAGCACTTATTTCAGAGACAGGCCTCATGCCTAGTACCTAACTGCTTCTCGCAGACATGTGGAGAAGAGGACAACAGTGTCAGTTCCAAGGAACACATCATTCGCTCAAGTGTCAAGGTCAACTTGCACACCTCAGCTTGGTTGTTTAAGGCTTTACAAGTGAAAAGGGTGGAACAGGATGTGCTATTTCCATGCCTATTAATCTCCCAACAACTGCCTGACGACTTGACCAGGCAAACCTCATGCTAACGCAGACCACATCAACAACAGACCACATCCTAATGCAGAGGTCTTTTTCTTGGAATCAGCTCACACATTCGCGGAATCAGCTCACACATTCCTTCTCCTAAGACAGACAACAACTGGTTTATGGAAATCCAAACACAACATCCGTGATGAAAATAATGAAGAGTATGTTTGCAAAATCATTTACAGTAGTAATTCTATAGAAAATTCTCTTATGTTATCACTCACACGTAACGAATACTACACATTATAAACAAATCCGTTTCACAAGAATTGCTTTATCTAAGCGTGTAGCAATCACAATTCTTATCAATTTCTACTTATCAACTCTTGAAGGAAACATTCCATGTTGACTCTCTAATAACAGAACATTCTTATATTAACAGTGTAGTACTCTAAATAAGCATTCAGATCCATCCCAAAGACACCAATGTAAATAGTCCAATACAGTTCAACAAATTCCTCTTAGTTCTGTGGACATTTATTAACTAAGAGGAGTAACAATTGATAGATGTCCACAAAACACAGTTGCTAGAAGGTGTGGAGATGGAGCGCCCAAGCTGGTTGGAATAGATATAGAGTGCTGTATACAGTCAAGAGAAATATGTAGAGCTTGGTACTCCATCACTGGAGGTGGCCTGACAAAGTCCTGAAAGGAAATGGATGGGAACCTGGGCGGTCTGTCTCCATACCTCTTAGCAACTGTGTTTTGTGGACATCTATCAATTGTTACTCCTCTTAGTTTTATGGACATTTATTAAGTGTTAGGAATTTGTTGAACTGTATTGAACTATTTACATCGGTTTCTTTGGAATGGATCTGAATGCTTATTTAGAATACTACACTGTTGATATGAGAATGTTTTGAATCAAATGTCAAGTATTTTGGGGGACAGTGTTACAGTTTTTGGCTGTGTGGTTACATACCCTCTTTGCTGT